CCTGCACATTTTCTTATTAATCTTTCTTTATCTACCTAGCACAAGAATCTTGTTGAATTTTGAGATATTCATCAAGTTTGCTTTGTGTTGCTTCTTCTCTTTCCTTTTCTTTCATACTTTGTAATGCAGTCCTATGCCTTTTGAAAATATGTTTTCAGGGAAAGCACCAATAATTGGTTTAGATGAATTAGATGAGTGAAAAAGAATTTTTTTCCCTGCCAATGCAGGTTATTTGAAACAAGTGGAGGATCTTATTTTGACTACCTCTTTAAACCTTAATGTTCTGGCTATTATCAGGATTAGGTTGCAATTTCCATTTTTGCTATGTCTTGACATCATAATTTGTTATACCATATTGCAGAACTTCATATCTTGATAAATTATGTGAGAGTTCATTGTCTTAATGCAATCTTGTTAGGGATGTATATATTTAGGCTTATAAATTGGAGAGAGCAGAAGAATGCTTACTGCCCAAGAGCTGCCTTTCAAGCTTAATCTTTGGTTATTACTGAGTTGTGTATTGGATTTTGAGTCTTATTCTGGAACATAGGATTTCATCAATGGCCTGTTTATTCTTGATTTCAGGGAGCTCTAGATGGTGGACTTGATATTCCCCACAGTGACAAGAGATTTGCCGGATACAATAAGGAGAGCAAGCAACTTGATGCTGAAGTTCACCGCAAGTACATTTATGGTGGCCATGTTGCTGCCTACATGAGGGTAAATCTAAAAATTTTATGATTTTAATAAAGGATAGTAAACTGAACAAAAATTTCTGTGATGTGATAATTAATGTAATTGAGTCTCTTATGATTGGCTAAATTCTTTGGAAATGCACTTTTTTGCTCTTCTTGCTCACATTTGTCTTTAATTGGAAATATTGACAGACATTGATTGAAGATGAACCCGAGAAGTACCAGCTTCAATTTAGTGAGTATATAAAGAGAGGAATAGAGCCAGATGACATGGAGGAGATGTACAAAAAGGTTCATGCTGCAATTCGTGCAGACCCTACCGTGAAGAAATCTGAGAAGCAGCCTCCAAAGGAGCCCAAGAGGTAAGAATGCATTACTTTAGCTTGAGTGTGTTTGGGAGACAGCAAGAGAGATGGAGGCTTCTAAGTCGGTTTCAATACCATAGTTAAACTGCAAAGACATTACATATATGCATGATACATGCACACAACGGAGGCCTATGCAGATTTAAATTCAGTCAGATGGAAGGGAAATAATTATATGTTCTTTTTGCTTGCTTGATCCATTTGAAGTTATTGTACCTGTTTGTTTGTCTTATATTTCCCTATTACTGATTCAAAGTTTAATGTGGATAATAGGTTCAATCTGAAGAAACTGACTTATGAGGAAAGGAAGGCTAAGTTGATCGAGAGAGTGAAAGCTCTCAATGCTGCTGCTGGAAGCGATGAAGATGATGAAGAGTGAATATAAGGTCATCTATGGTTCCTGTGACACTTTTCTTTGTTGTCATGCTATGAGAGGGTGGATTACTAGGTTTTTTTTTTCGTTTTTTTTTTCAATGAGAACTTTGCATGTTACTAGGGTTGAGATCTAAAATTACATTTGCTTTTGCGGATTACTCTTTGTTCTGCTGAAAACCCAAAGGATTGTTTTTTCAGTTAAATTATACTTAGACCAATGTTTACTTATGTGTAGAACTGTGTTTAATATGCACCAGCTATTTGTTTTCAATTTCAAATCCGGGATTTCAAAGTCCTGGGTATGAGCCAACATGAATGGAAGAATTAAATTGTTCAAACATGACTCTTTTAAAGTTAAGGTAAAAAGATTTTTCAGAATTTTATTCTTCTTTTAGTAGTTTTCCTCAGGACAATTTCCTTGATCTCTGTTTAAAGTTGAAGTCAAATTGTTAAGATATGACTCTTTTTTGTGTTATACTATGTGGAAATATGACTTTATTTTTTTTTAGTTAGAGAAATATAATTTTATTTTAGAATTAAATAAAAACATAATTTAAATAAATTTTATTCATTGTACTTGTGATCAATCACTCTTAATGTTAGTGTGTCAGTCTAAACTTCAATAACTAAAATCAACAAAAAAATTCAGCAATTAACAAAAAAATGTTATTGCTCCTAATGATATTTACATTCTAATTAACAAAAAAAATAGAGTTTATACACTCTAAAAACTACGTAGCATTTGTTTGGCAAGCACTCCAGATTATTTTGGATAATAAAAGAACATTTTTAGTTAATAGAGGTAATAAGAACTTGACCTTTTTTGGCGCTTTAAGCAATAAAATCAACAAATACGAAATTGAGTTAAAATATTATGAAATATATATCTACTATAGAGCATAAATTTTAGGATAAATTAAAATTTTCACCTAATAATAAGCTCTTTAATTTATCGAAATAAACTACGAATTAACAGCTTTTAATTTCATCATTGAAAAGAAAATATATATAAACAGAACCCTGTTCGCCATTAGAAAGCACCCAATATGCTTTTCCTCATGGATTTTTCTCCAATTGCTGATTAGAGGAAGATGAGACAGACAGTAAAGAGAAAAAGAAGACATAGAGGTGAAGGTTTTGAGGTCTTGAATCTTGGTGTGTAACTGGGTATCTTCCAAGAGAGGTAGGGGTAATCTATACCTGAAAAAATTAGGTAAGCCTTGATTTGATCTTGTTAAGAAATAATTGGTCTGATTTTGACATGGGTTTGTTTCATGAGAACATGTTTGAAATTTGGATACTAACTGTTAAAAAATTTATTCTACGATGAATATCAATCTTTAAAAAAAATTACTGGAGAGGAATCATTTTAGATTTTTCCCTTAAACTGAAAGCAATATCGGCTGCCAGAAATGTATCTCCATGTTCTTATCCTTCTCACCATAACATGACAAAAACTGGTTTTCTGCTTGTGCAAATTCCGCATAAACAAACGGTAGCTGTCTTGTTTTACAAAGAAATGGAATTATGGAAACCCCTAAAAATGCCTATGCAAATGATGGGGATTGAGTAACAGCCAAAGCAAATTAGTACAAAAAACTCCAGTCCAAACCCTTGTCTATATTGCAAACTCGACTTCTCTTCACACAACTCCGACATATTTTTCTTTTGCGTTGGAGTAACACCCTTCTGAAATTAGCCTTTTAAAGTCAATAAGTTCACTCTAGGTCTTGCTCTAGTAGGATATCTACATGATGACATATATTCTCCATCCATCTGGGGATGCAACACCATATAGATGGAGAAACGTCACAATTTATAAAAATTTTGGTTATTCATCATCCTCCGGATCAAAGTCTTTAACCTTCACATCTGCGTCTTCGCCAAACTGAATGCAATTGTCTATTTGAGCCAGCACATATTTTATACTGCCACACAGGTCAAACTTACATTAGTCAGTAAGTATGAAATATTGGGCCACCATTCAAGCTACCCGAGTTAACTGTTTGTCTTTGACTATAACAAAGAGAAAGGCCTGAAGAAAGAGACCAAAAAGTAACTAGAGCAAATATAAAAGTTCAGATACTGCTTTACATAATGTAAAGAAGCAAGCACATTATCATCCTGTTAATTTACACCCATAGCTTCAAATACTGAAATTTCATAAACACATGAGGCATAAATGAAGAGGGAGAGAGATAGCGAGATACCTGCTTTCCTTCCTCAAATCTAGTGGCACAAAACTCACCATGTTATATTCGTCCACCTAACACAAACATATTATATCATACTTAATAAAGCCAATAAAATTCTGATAAACTAATGCAAAGAGATAAGGAGAAAATTCAATCCTTCTTTTTCAGGAAAAACTTAAGTCCGACAATCATATAATTAAAGCTCACAACATTCTCTTGAAGTTAAAGGCTAACAAAAACTTCATTGTATCACACTATAAAATTTGCTACAGCTTAACAGTTCCGCAATTAAAAGAGTCAGATAAGTTTATAGCAGAACCATAAGACCAAAATCCAACACAAAAAATAACCATTAAAACCTTATATCAAAGAGAAATATTTTAAATGAAATGACTCTTTAAACTCAATAATCAATTGGCAGCATTTAAAGTTTTTTTTTTTTTTCCAGATAGAAACTGGCAACTCTTATGTACCAAAAAGGCTTTTGGATAGAAATGATCAATCACACTGACACACACTTTGGAGGAAGACATTTTATGGGCCTGGTAGGATCTTCAAAATGCTCCAAGAGACTGATGGACATTGTTCAATCAACATCATGTAAAGAATGTGAATCATCATTAAAGTTTCTCCTCTATTAAATTATGCAATCAAAATGGCGACAATGACTTCCGAAGGAACTAATTTTGATGGACAAAAATAAATTTTAGTAAACCTGAAAGTTGCTTCATTACTTACCAAATCAATTAAAGATTTATTAAGCTTGGCAAACTGTGGAGCCATTTGTTGATTCAACTGTGACAACAAAATTTGAGAGTCCGGATTCAAGTAGCTGAACTCCAGACAGATATTCAGATTAGAAATCCAAATTGTAGAAAATCTCATAACAAGCTGGAAAAACTAGTTAAAGATTAAGGATCTCACTCTTCGAGATCTCTTTTGTTTGTCACAAGGTCCATTTTCGTGAGGATGTTAACATGGGGCAACTCAAGTTGGATCATTGCCGAAAGCGATGCCATACACCCACTTATAAATTTTGTCACATCTGTGATGAACTGATGCAAATAAAACAAAAACTTCAAGGGTCAAGGAAGTAAACAACAAGGAAGGAAGAGAAAAGAGGAAAGAATATAGCTTGAACAAACCTGTGAATCAAGCAAGTAAACAGCACAAACATTGAAATTCCTACGCTTCAAGTGCTCTGCAAAGTTCTTGAGCACAGGCACATGTGAAAAAAGTTCTATCTGGCCTGTAATACATTCGAAGTTTAGGAAAACCAATAACAGGTGGTGGAGTATTGGAAAGAAGCATATGTACATGCAGAAAAAGTGTACAAATATATTTCTAGCCAAGTTACTCAGCGTTAAAGATTCAAGTGTAAGGAGATATGGACAGCAAAATTCGCTAGACCTATATTCTGGTCAAATAAGTAATAATAGAATGAAAAAAAAGGCATAAATGGCATATTTTTCAAACCCATTTCAAGCTATCCCATACATGATGATAGGATTTTGGGCTCAAGATATTTACTCTAATTTCCTGCACATTTACTTCTCCTAATTAATGTGAGAATTCTAAGCTATTGTCCAAAGCAAGAGGAAACACTCAGGTGTTGCAAAGGTATATTTACGCGCGGCACTCCAAATTTCTAAGATGACATCAATTCCCGATTTCCAGCAAAACATTGTTAGAGGCCTTTAGACTGAATTTGTTATAGGTAGCTGTCCCTTCAAAGAAAACTTTTTGTTGTTTTTTCCCGTTAAATTGCACATCCAAAAAGCAATGTATTGAATATCTATCCTTTCATATAACACAAATTAAACAGACACACTAACATGGAAAAGAAGTTACCTGGGCAGTCAAAAACTAAATAGTCATCATCCATATAATTGTCTAATTCTTCTGTCAACCAATCGTCCAGACTGTCTTCGAGATGTCTTACCATGGAGGTTAAAGATGTTCATCACTTAATCAAAATGAGAAATGGTGCTAACAGAACACTGAAATTAAATTTATTCCTCTCTTTAACTGACTCTACAGGTAAGTGGCAAAACAATACCCTAGTACTGTGTGAAAGGTAGAAATTGAATTCCCAACATCAAAGATTTCTAAGGTGGTAGTAGATAAAAAAATGCAACAGATTACATTTTAGTTACAATGAATTGACTAGTAATTAAACAAGAAGATAACAAAACACAACCTTAAGGCTTTTTGTGCTTAAAACCCCACTCTTCAGAGAAAGGGAAAGTAGTCTCCTAATTCCAACTATGAATAAGATTATGCAGCAACAAGAATTAACAGAAAAAGGATACTCCATGCAGTACATAAGACCACCATTTGGACCCAAGCCAAGTTCCTCCATAACATCATCTAAAGAAATGAGTTCCCTAATATCTGCACACAAACCAAAAAAAACCACCTCTGGAGGAAGATAAAGAAAAAGCTTAGTTGGAAGGAATCAGGCAACAAGGACTCACCCATGGCCACAGGATAGTCAAAGTTCTCTGCCGCAGGATCCAGGTTAACAACATGGATCGTTCGACCAACAGTTTCACAATGCTGGTACAAAGAAGAGCAGTATGTCGACTGATGGAAAAGAAACAGAGACAATTTAGTGTATAGCAATCCATAATAAACCCAACTATGGAAATGATCTAAGAGGTCTAGTAAGCTTGGCAAACCAGTAAAACTAAAAGTTTAAAACCCTATGTACAGACTAATATAGAAAGTCACCTTGCCACTGCCTGCAGGGCCAATAACAAGCTGTGCATAGCCCATGATTTTTTATGCAGCCGCTTCACAAATTTAAAATGGACAGAGAGAATTGAAGATCCTAAACGATGCAAGGATTGCAACGGTTATATAAGCAGTGCACCAAACACCCACAGAGAACAAGAAATTCAAACAATCAGAGGAACCCATAAACGCCGGGAAGAGAGAACATGATTAGAGAACCTGAATTATCAAATACCAAAAATATACAATTTGTTCAGATTATTTGCTTCACCATACACTTCAAACAAAAATACCCTCTTTTTTATTTTGCATTTTCATTTACACTTCAGGTAACAGATTATTCAATCCATATATTTCAATTAATAAGATTTCAGAAGAACAAATAGGAAAGAATACACAAATGGGTTTGTTGACCTCAATGGAATGATTGGATGTCAAAGAAACGGGTAATAGAGAATTTCGACAAATCATAACTTACCTTAAAGCTCTAGATGAAATGAGTTTTGCTGAAGGTCACCTTTAATAATCAAGTGGATTAGTGGTTGGGTGTTGGAGGGGAAAAAGGAAAGATGATGAGAAGCGAACGTGTGAGAGAATCAAAGGCGACTTTGTCTACCAGACGACTCCTTTGACTGTAATTTTTTAATACCGGACCAAACCAGTTTAGGGTTTTTGCCTGTTTACAGGAATACCCAGGGAACAGTAGCTGGGTTGGGTTAGGTTGGTTATGGAGTTTACCAGTGAAAGGCAGGCTCTCGGATTCACCAGATAAAACGCAGCGTTTTGTATCCGAGATGTCTAAAACGACGCGTTTCGGTTTCTTACGGTGGAACCCAACCTCCAAAAAAGAAATATCATTTTATTTTAATATTTTTTTTACCGCAAAAACCACTCGCTGTGTTGGCGTCTTATAACCTTGAAACCAGACGGAGGGAAGGAGGGAGAAAGAATTCCACCACCGGTGAAGTGAAAATAAAGAAGCTTGTTTCCAGCTCCGGACCACCGACGATTTAAATCGCACAACGAGAAAGGCGTTCATTCAAATTCTTCAAGCATTTTTAAAATAGTTTTCTTTCCTCAATTACAAAAGCACGAAAATCACTTCTAATTTCTTTCTCCCTTACTCGCTGTTTTCTTCTTCTTCTTTTTGGTTTTTCAGAAACCCTAGCTGCGACCAGAACAAGGTCTCTTATATGTATATATGTCATGTTTGCTTTTCATTTTTATTTTAAGATTATGTATTTTAACTAGTTGTTCATAGTTACTGGCTCTTGTTATTTTACTTCAAGGCCTGCACACGCTATTGTCTCGTCTTGGAAGAAGGAGCTGGTAATTTTTAAGCTTTAGATGTGTTATATATATAGCAGCTGTTAACTGAAAAAGAAGCTTCTGTTGTTGAATTGCGGAGGTGTCAGCAATGAACTACCTCAGTTTTCATCGTTTCCTTTGCTTTAGGTTTAATCGGGACTTCATTCGCCAGCCGCTGTCCCTTCTTGCTGTATAAATCGTTTGGAGTGGAGGGTATTGGTATTGAGGGTTTACAATGGTTAAGTTGTTTGTATTGGAGCCAGACTGGAGGAAATATGGGGATAGTGAATCTGCCAAGCAGATAATATCTCTTCTAAAGAAATTAGAATCTGTTATTCGGTCAGTGGTGACTTCTGGAGGTCGGTCAGAAGCTCGATTATGGCTTCATAACACCATATCGGGTATCACTTCCATCACTCCCCAACAGCAGTGTGAGCTTTTTGTGAATCTGTTGAGATCCAAATCAACAAGGAGAGCTTTAGCATCCCAACTGATGCAAATGATTTTTGAGAAAAGGCCACGAAAGGCTGGGTCTGTCTTAGCCAAAAAAAGTTACATTCTTGAGAAATTCTTTGAAGGTATGACTGTTTTCTTCACTGCATTATGGATTCGTCATTTATTAATTTTTTATGGAAATTCAATGCACTTTATTTTTGTTTAACCTCAGCGGAATGCTTAATTCCATATTGGTAGAAGCCCCAGTCGGCAGGTCTCTGCCTTATATTGCAGTTCTTAGTCCTTACCGTGGTTCTTTTAGCATTTTTTTGGTCTCTCTAGTGCTCAAGGATTAATTAATTTGCTGGACACTGGACAGAGTTTGGAATGCATAGCATTTCGGTCTTTCTGTAAGTAATTCTAATTGTTCTTCAGTTGTTCAATGATGCAGGAAATCCAAGGCGTATTCTTCAATGGTTTTCTAATTTTGCTTATGGTGCTGGCTCTGAGCACAAAAGAGGTGCTAAAGCATTATCACAGTTTGCTTTTATGAATAGGGATATCTGTTGGGAGGAGCTTGAGTGGAAGGGAAAGCATGGACAGTCACCAGCAGTTGTTGCTACAAAACCCCATTATTTTCTTGATTTGGATATCCAAAGAACAGTTGACAATTTTCTTGAGAATGTGCCTGAATTTTGGTCCTCAGATGAATTTGCTGAGTCATTAAAAGATGGTGAAATTTTGTTCCTCGATACCAAGTTTTTTGGAGAACTTTTTGTTGATTTGATGTATAAAGAAGACTCACAAGATGTATGGGAAGTTATAAAGGAGTTTCTTATGGAGGAATCTTTTGCATATTTGTCTCATCATCTTCTTGTCATCCTTGAAGAGCCTGATTTCAGCAGCTTCTTGGAAATGGTTTGTAAATATATCAACCCGGTAATGGATCCTAAGAATTTTGGTTATTCATCTTTCTGGCCTGAGGTTACATTTTCTAAGTTCCGTGATTATGAATCAATTGAGCAGCTGCTTCTGTTAAATGCTGTTGTCAATCAAGGACGACAACTTCTTCGGCTTGTAAATGATGAAGAGTACAGCAATGTACGAACAAAAATTGAAGACATCATATCAGAAATTTCCACTGCTTCAAGCAACACAGATAACTTAGCTTCAGTCCTTAAAGAATGCTTCAAGATGAAGATGACAGAAACAATAAAATTATTGGGACTTCTATCTTGGGTTATGCATTACAGATTGTCAAAGGAATGTCTGACTCCAGATTCCTGGAAAATTTTATTTACAATAAATGGAATAAGTTTTAAGACAACTAATAAACATGCCTTGATAGATAATGATAAGTCAGACGAAAGCGAGCCTGGACTAGATCACAGAAAATCATCTAAAACTAGACGCAGGAAGAAACATAAAAGTAGAAAGAAAAGGAGAAGGAACATTTATAATGATGATGATGACAGTGATAATGAGCTGCTGGATTTTGATATGACAAGTGGTCAACAGAGTTTGCAACTGCATAGCATGAGTTGGCTGCTCTCTACTGACAGGTTTTCAGCATCTTGGACAAATGTGAGTTTATAAGTTTATTTTGATGATATAAACTTCCTTGCATTTTGGTTAAGAGACACTATCACTACCACAGTTTTTGAATGTTTTATGCTAATTGCTGGCACCCATTCCCTTGGCTTCTCGCTTCTGGAGGATATGAAAGGTCTCCTAGGGTGTTGTCAAGTGTAAACATTCTGGCTTCCCTATTTCAGATTTCAAAATAAATTGTGAAAAATGGTGCCAGTTTAGATTACCTGGCTTACAGGCGTAGTCACAAGGATAAAGATTGATAAACATGGGTAGAGGAACCTTCATTTCATTTGAGAGTTTGACACAGAAAGATCTGTCTTTTTATGTAGTACTCACAACTGTACCTTTTCTCTGATTTTATACACAAAAACACCCACATGTTTTACCAAATGCACTGAATTTTGTTAATTGTTATTCCCAACATTCTTGATAGTCATATAGATGAATTACTTTCCTCTTCATACTGCTTTTGTTAAGCCTAAATTACTTATATCTGTCCTTTTCTGCTGTATCTTATAGTTGCAAATCAAGAGTATCGTTCTTCTAGTAGACCATGTTAGCTAGTTTGCTCATCATCAAATTGTTTTCCAGGTGGATTTACCAGAACACCTCTCAAGGCATTGTTTTGTAACATGGATGAAGTGGGTTGTTGCCAGGTGGACTGATGCGGGTTAATTTGCCCCAGCTCTGTGAATCATACATGAAGTGGTGGGATAACCAACAATATCCACCTTATTTGGATTCTTATGATAAAGTGTTTAATGGAATTTGATGTTGTTCCTTTTTTCTTAGTTTTCTTCTCATAGAGATTAGTTGGTATACTCAAGTTACACAATTAATAGATTCATTCTTGATTATCAATTCAGAGAATCTCATCAATCACCATTTCACAGGGAGAAGTAACCTTAGTGGACCGTAGCAGTCTTCTGGATAGCGATATTTTTCCATTTCAACTTGCAAACTTGGAATTCACATGACAAATAGATGTCATAATGGTGTGTATTGATCTTAACCAAGTGTTTAAACTCAAATAGCTTATATACTCGGTCTTGAGCCAAGTATTGAAACTCAAATAGGTCGAATATCTGGGACAGGATTACTTAATTGTGGTGATTTTCAGGCTGGTGCAACATCATTTGTTTTTACAGGAATTCAACTCAGCAGTTACCATTTGACAAGGAGGGGTGCCTTTTAAAAGCCTAGCTTCTTGGTAAAAGGTACTCACGAAGCGGCTATAGGTCGTCAACTTATCAATTGAATTAATATCCAGCAGATAATTGTCTATAATTTTTAAGTGACTGAAACGGAGCCCACTCTTTCTTGTGTCTGCTTGTACTAAGGAGAAACTAACAGTTATTTCCCTTCTCGGAAATAGATTATGGAGCTGAGTTTTGACAATGGGATGAAATGGATTCAGTTTGAGATTGAGGAAGCTAGCACCCTAAGACCTCACTGATCAAACTGGAAGCATCTTGCAGAAACTTATGTTGGAGTAGGAAAGTTCTATTAATTGCTTCCAGAATAGCTACAATGGAAGATTCTTTTTGGCACAGTTCAGGAATTTTTGGTCTGTTGCAGAATTGCAAAGTTCCCTGATTGGAAACTGATCTTAATGTTCGAAAAAATATCAGCTGATCTATGATGTTTTTCCAGGCACAATTGGGCTAACATCTCCTTATCAAAGGGAATAATAAACTTTATATTATAATATATGTTTATGCGTATACCGCAGAGGAACATATTCGCTAAAAGTCAACATATTTCTTTCAAGATTAGACCACAGTCGACTATCCCAAGGCATGATTTCAGTGTAGCATACAGGACTTTGATGTGCTATTAAATCTCTAAGGAATTTCCTTCCACTTTTAGCTGTCCTTGATCTTCTTGCACGGTATGTAAAATTTTATTTCTGATGGATGAAATTAGCCAAGTTGACTACCCATTAACATTTCACACCGACCCCCCCGATCAGTCCAGTTCGCACATGGTAAAAATATGGGCAGCCAGGATTCTCGTGTTGTACACAGTACAGGAATTTGTAGCAATTTACAAAGTTTTTTCAATTATTACAACAGAGAAAAAGGTCTGACTATGAGTGGCAACTCAAAAATCTTCACTGCTGGGCATCCACGCAACTGCAGTCTCAGCATCATCAAGTCTACAGGAAGAATACAAACATGTAATTGAATCAAATCTCCCCAGGGCATTTTTCATGAAACTTTTCTGGCAGACTTGTCAATAAGGCAATCAAAAGAATTCAACTTGACTCCATTTTCAGGTGAATAGCAGCTCAAAACTTCATACATTTCAATATCCTAATCTTTTAACAAGAGAATAATTGCCAGTAGGACGTCTGATTGCTAACACCCATAATTGACACAAAGCACCCATGTGGATCCACAGGAAAGGGAGACTTCCGGGAGTTTCACCAACAGTATTTAACAAGGAGATCAACAGTTTACCACATAAGATGGTGTCAAGGCCAACAGTTGATTCTAAATTTTCAGAATCTAAAAGTTTTAGTGCTCCATGCTACTAAACACTCGTTGCTGGCCAGTAACTTAAGTCTAGGCTACGTGCTACCATCTCACAGAAAACCGGACCTGGAAATTCGTCTTCATTAATTCGTACTGCATGTCTCTAGCAGCAAACAAATAACAAGAAAAGGCAGTGCAAAATAAAAAAGTAGTGATGGCTGCTCCTACAGCGCACTAAAACTGGTTGCAATATCTTCAATTCCTCTTCCCGCTATTCCACTAGTGAGGGGACTTTTAAACCAGAAAGATTTTACCCTCCTAAATTCCCAACATAAGAAAAATGCCCCACAATATAGTGACTTTGAACATGCCCCATTCTTTAGTCTAACCATTAGGTATCTGTTGACATGCCCCGTAAATCAATCATGCCAGTTTTCCACCTTTATGATTCAATGGTTTTATAGAGATTAAGAATATGTCCTTTAATTTCACAAACTTTAAACATTTCGATGAAGAATTAACACGTGAAGAAACACTGAGCACAAGTTGCTTGCAGCATCTGCTGCATTGTGCTACGGAAAAGAGAACATCTGCGAGTAGAATTTGTTTTCTTTAGTTTTTCAGGATAACAGGGAATATAGCACATCTTGGTGCTTATAAGACGTATCCCAGCCTAAATCATGAACATCTGCGTGCATGATACATCTCCGTTCCCATCTGGAGTTCTCGAACACGACACCCAAAATGAAAATAAAATAGACGAAAGGCATTCCAACCTTCATTTCCAGCTAAAGTTATTCAAAGAAGAAAAGCCAACACGGACATTATTCCTAATAGATCCAGCACAGAGCCACTGGGAAGAGATGTTCCTGAAACCTCATTCAATGCTGTTCTGGGCTCTGCAAGAATATGAACATAGAAAGACAAAAGAACTACTGCTGGCTTGAATGATTGTTCACACTTGCACATACAAATTTAGGACATCATAGGTCTTTTCCTAACCAAAAAGGTCACTTTACATGCAAAACTTTCACCCTCTAAACCACTCCATATACCCATAAGCCAGTTTCTGTTTCAAGCAACCAAGTTATAATGAAGATTTGCTTTCTCATTTGATGACATTTGGGTTTTTAGATTAAAATTAACCCCTCATGCAAGTCACTAAAACGAGGGCATGTTCCCAACATTTTCATCTCCATGACACTTATATTCAAACTAGATTAGCACAAGAATTGGCTTCAAAAACAGAAAACTATCTTGCAAATACACCTAATGACCAAGCAACAATAAGGAGAATATAGAAATAGAGGAAACTTACCTACTGATGCACATGCTGGCAAGCTTACATACTTGGGACATGTGTTTCTTTTGGACATATCGCTTGAAATGATGCAGTCCCGAGGCTGCAATGACAAAAAGATCTCAGAATACACAAAATATCTCCAAAGGAAATTCAACCATTATTACCCTTCTGCCTCCATCCCCAGGAGAGGTGGAGAGAGAGGAGAGGGGGGGGTGGAAGGGTAGTGGGAGATTCCATTGGAAATATAAAACACTTGTTGCTCATTTTATTTCATGCTCTCTTAAGGGTTTCAATCATTGACACTGGTACAAG